TGTGAGTAAGGTTTGTCAAAACTAAGCTAATCTATCGAGTATATGTATATGTATACGTATATATATGTGTATAAATGCATACATTCATAAACTATCACTTTAAACTGTATGCATTTCTCCTCCTTTTTCCTTAATCCTTGTGGTAACATCAGTCATCGCATTTTATCATACTGATTATTATATCATTGTATAAACTTGTTACGATTCTGATCTTTTCACTAATTAGATTGTCCATGAAAGACGTGTAGAAAGATTTTAAATACATTTTTTATTTTTTTATTTCTGAAATGTAATAAAATAAGAATATTCGTCAATGATATTTAGAAAGATCAGGATCGTTCTCGATATATAATTTGTTTTTGTTTCTTGTTCTTGTGTAGAACCTATCACTTATTAAAAAATAAAGAAAGAATGATATTATATAATTACACAAGAAATTGCTTTTTAATAGAATTCTTTATATCTTATATCACTTTTTGTTATAATTGTTAATACAAAAAGAGGAGCAACGCGACATTTCGAATTATTAACTCCTCGGAGAACGTACTGAACATTATAATTTACTGCAATATACCGTTCGGTAATATTCCATTCATACTTGACTCGCGGTGTTTCACAATCCTTGCGACACACTACTACTTTCTTAACCCATGTCTGTCCTTGACGCTAGAACCCTACAAAGATCCAGGTCTAATGCCAACTCTTAATTTCAGACGTTGAAGACGTCAAGTTTGTCATCAATTTTGACTACCCCTCCTGTTCCGAGGATTACGTTCATCGTATCGGTCGTACCGGCCGCCGACAGAAGACCGGCACGGCGTACACCTTCTTCACGCCTAACAATGCCAACAAGGCTAATGATCTGATACAAGTGTTGAAGGAAGCGAATCAAGTGATAAATCCGAAGCTACTGGAGCTCGCCGATAGTAAAGCTGGCGGCTATGGCAGAAACAGAGGTATGTCTGAAACAATTGCTGGAAGACTGTGTAAAGTTTATTCATGTAAAGATCGATTGAATCGGAATTGGCAGGTGGAAGAAATCGATGGCGATCACGAGGCGGAGGTGGATGCGGTAGCGGTCGTAACGGAAAAGAACGCAGCTATTCGCGAAGCAGAAGTCGAAGTTATAGTAGAGAACGCAACGGCCGTAGCAGTCGACGAAGCTACAGTCGTAGTTACTCGCGGAGTCGTAGTCCCATCAGCAATCGTAACGGTAAATCGCTATGTTATCCGAAGAACTGTTGATTCCGCGGACTGATACTAATAAGAAATCATTTCTCCTCAGAAGTTATCGGCAAAAGTTATTGGAGTAGCGAGAGATGATCTTCCAGCGGCGGTTAAAGAATGTGTGTGTTGCAACGCAGGTAATTTTTTCTTTTTTTTATTTTCGAAAGAAGCGATTGTAATAAACGAGACTGTTTCATCGAGACTGTTTCATTCACTATTCGCGAAAAACGACACTTCAGTATCGAATTTGGTGGATGCACTACTATTGTAGATCATCAAACTTCTTACGTATAGCAGCTTTCAATTTGCACTTCGTGTATCAGGCCGCCGAATTCGGCAGCCTGATTGATAATATAATTAATGTGATGATATAATCAGTGCGATGATATAATCAATAGTTTGCTAACTATATATACATGAATTTTTAATGTCGTCTTCAGTAATGCTGACCATCGCTATCTTATATAAGAAAAACTTTTAATGTGAGTACACAATACTGAAGTGTACTCAAACAGAGATTTTATTATCTATTTGCTAGTGATAGAATGGTGAAATGTGTTATTATATCTTTTACTTCCTTTTGCATCCCCATGCCGCATCTAATTTCTTCCTTTTTCAATATTAAAAATATACACCAATTTATAGATTAGGCAAATCCATTATAGCAATCGACTGTTTATACATTTTTATAATGCTTACTCTCACGTTAATCCTTATACACTCATCCGATAAGAGTAAGAAAGAATTAGATTGACGTGAGCAAATGATGTATAAATCTAATTATTATGCGAATTAAACTTCCAGTGTATAACAGTGTTTAATTACGTATATTTGTAGATTATAATAAATTATACTATATGTCTAGTACGCGCTTATTTGTAATTTATCCGTCTGTATTTTAGGCAATTATAACAAATGATAATAACACTTGATGTACAGTATTTCAACGACGTGATAAATAAATTCGTAAATGTCTACATTATTTCCTATTCTAATATCTTGCGTGCATTCTGTAGAGTTTATTCGATTGTCTTAAATGATTATGTTGCATCAATAATCACTTACCTGTAATAAGCTTGACGGTGATATCTGTGAATTATATGCATCACATATTTGCAAAAAGAATAAGTTACATACAAAAGAAAAATTTATGATCGTCGCATGCTTCGATTATCATCGCTAAAATCTTTAGGAGAATGACAACCAAAGTGACTCACGTTTAGGATCGGTTTTTCGCCTGTGTTCTGTTTAATTTAATTTTTATCTTAATTACAGGTGGTAGTACTTAAAGATCTTACGGTAATTTTAGAATACCGAATTCCATTTATCCTCTCAACCCGGTGTTCTCCATGCGTCAGTCTCGTTCGTTTCGCTTTGCGGATGGCCGATTTTTTGCAGCCACATGGTATTTGACAGGAATAATTAATACTCGACCAATATATAAGGTGTATTTGACGGTGTATATATAATTGACGATCTAATAAGTTCACGTGGGAAGATTCCTTCTCTTCTTTTTTTTTTATCGGACTATGTGCCACGATACAAATTTATTATGTTACACATCTTGGAATATCGTGCGCTTAAATGCATTCACGAATCACAAACATGCAATAATCTTTCTTATGTTCTCGAGACGCGTGCTCGCTCGAGTCGCGATTGTTCCACCGTTTTCGCCGGGGAGGACACAATCTTTACAATTACTGTGGACAACGTACAATATCCGCTCGTCGATATTTATCCGGGGCGAGCGCGATTTTTAAAGAATTAATCGAGACGGGGAAAGAGGTGATCGACGTCGAACGACTCGATCGCGATTATGAGGATATTCTGCGCAGCGTCGACCAAAATCTCGGACTGCACTTTCGAATCACAATTAAAAGACACAGTAAATTTCCAAGGTATTTTATCAGCCATCGCATATTTCACTTAAATTTATTATAATTCGGCAGAAAAATTTATTATGCCTGTCAATTTTAGAATGTTGGACGACTCATATTTGAAAGGTGCGCCTTTAAAAGGTACTTCTTGGCCGAGACTGCTCGCAGATCCGCTCGCTTCGTTCGTGATTGTAAGAAAACGACACACTACCGATGTTCTAATCGTAATGTTAACATCGAAGTACGATTTTTCCCATCGGACTGTAGCCGCGATACAACGTGTCATGGATAACGCAAATGTTTGTGGAACATACATGGATATTTGTACGTGTGTGCAACACGCGTGTAACAAGCTCCTCGCATGAATTGGGGGGGAGGGGGGATAAAGGAGGGATTTATTTTTTTTTACAGGGCTCAGCATGCTTCGTTCACATATATTACAACATACGCATATAACAATAACATTAAAACCTTTTTAGATGTGTTTTTGGACGTGGGAGAGAGAGAGAGAGAGCTATGACGCGCTTATAATTATATCCACAATACAACAGGATACTTTGTGTGCGTGCGAAGGTCATATATTCATATGTACGTGTATTAGGTCAAGTGTACATGTGTCCATGGTGAGACACTGTGTTTTTCGGTGTGCGGATCGATCTTGCCTGGACCAAAGTGACTCCAAGCAAGTAAATGATAAGTGGGAGGTCGAGGGTGAAAATTTTACACAGTTGTCCTTAACTTCCGGTCACCGTATCCTCCTCAGTGAATGTTACGTATAATACTTCCGGTCTCTATTCTGGATTCTTTCATCCCTTTTCTTCAGCATTAAACCGATGTAACAGATGTAAACACACGATGTTAAACTGAGGAGGACATGCGTCTGTTGGTGAGACGTGCCTACGCGTGCGTGCAGGAAGTTCGATGGAATCTATAATTAAGTCAATCAATTGTCAGTCAATTGTCCGCAGTCACTAAAATAGTCGTCTTGTCTTTAAGACTCTAGGAGCAACAGCTTCTTGAAGGAAAAGCGAATTGATAATGGGAGACGAGACAACGCGTTGGAAATAGTTCTCAACATGCAAATCGAGTTCAATCCCCTTTTTTTTAACATAAAGCCTTGTAACGCAAATCAAACTTAACTCAGAAAGGAAGAAAGATGTTTCTCCTCGTTCGTTACAGCTGTGTCAAAGAGATCCCACGATTTTACGCGCAAAGTGATATAATCTCTCGATCGTTTTCTCCTCGTGTGAGTGGAAACGAAGCGAAATATTCCGAAAAATGACACATTTGTTGAAATTGCCTTTTTCTTTTCAAGAATGCTGCGAAAAAAGATTTTGCACGGATCATCTTTAAACGATCCTACGAGAAAATTCGCATCTATCCATATAGGGTTTTACAATCGATCCAGTGCTGAGCCATTACTGGTTACCACAGTTCAGATACTGCAGTATTGGCTACTGAATGATGACTTGGATTCAATACAGACCGATAGAACTTTGGCTATCATTTAACAGCCAGTCACTTGCCAGTGATGACCCAGTACTGATACAGAACCTTGGCCGTCAGTTGACAGTCGTAGCATTTGGCTTTGATTTCGTTGTAACTACTACTTACTGACGGTCCTATATGGGTATTTAAGTCTGTTAATTTAGATCGTGTAATGCCAAGGCTCGTGTAATGAAGGTGAAACCTTCGCTATACAGACATCTGTGCGTGAGTATGAGAGATTCGTTAACACACCTTTACGTACCGCGATTTATTTATAGTGCAATCGACGAGGCGCAGGAGAGATGCGCGATCTCTATCGCTGATCTCTACGTGTAATCATTTCGCAAATACTGGCTTTGTGTCCCTTTAAATCTCTGACGTAGACACATACAGAGAGATATTTCTAAATATACAGGGTGTCGCGCCCACCCTCGGAAGTTTCACGCAGAAGCCGGTAATACCGGGTGTTTACGCGGAAACCACGACGTGTCTACGCATACTGTATCCAAATCACACACACGTAGACACGATACAGATAGGCACGGAGTAGAATACAGTGAATCAACAGGAAAATGAGAAACGAAGATGACTATTGTCTCATCCATCTATACTATTCCACGATTCGATTATTCTGTAGATTATTATGTAATCTGATTGTAAATACATACAGGATTGCCACAGAAAATGAATTATAAAATTCCCTGACTTTTCCAGATTTTCCAGATGAAAATGGAAAATTTTCCATGACTAATATAAAATATGTAAATTTTAACATTTAGAGGGTTGTAGGAAAGTTTAGTAGCAAGTAAAATTTTAGATGAAAATTCAACAAGAACTAAATTAGAAAAGTCAACAAGAACTAAATTAATTTTGGAAAAAAGAATACAATTATGACGAAAAAAAAGAACCAAATAAAAATATTGAATAAAATATAAATTTTAATTATTTTATTAAAATCGTTTAAAGTGCGCAAATTTTGAACGTATTTGACTAAACGTCAGATATAATATTTAAAAAATTATAACAATTTGAAATAGGAGCAGTTTAAGGAAATTTTGAGTAAATTTCGAAATTTCAGATTTTTTTTACATTTTTCCTTGACTTTTCCCGGTTTTCCATGATCAATTTCAATTTCTCTGACTTCCCAGTTTTCCAGGTTGTAATCCTGCGCATAGTATAGATGGGACGATGATCATCTTTGTTTCTCACATTTTTCTGTTAAATAAGGATCATTGTTATTATTAATACATGAAACAATTAGCATAGATTGAAGATTAGAGTTTCTTTCGATTATTGCTAACATCACGTGATAATACTGCACAGTTATTTTTATTGATTTCGTCTATTTGGATTATAATTGGTTTGGATTTTTTACTTTACGCGCAACTGGTGAATCATTCCTGATTCTATGTGTACATCCGAATGTACACTGCATCGATTCTCTTTTCATGGGGATTACTTGAAGCGAAAGATGGAGAACTTGATGATATTACGAGTCGAGAGATTACAATGTGCACTTGTTTAATTTTATCCAATTTTACCAATGTTGAATTTCTATGAAAATGATAATCGGCACCACCGAGATGTACTATTACTTTATAGTGAAAAATAGTCTCCTCACACAAATGTTAAAGAAAAACAAATCCGTGTGAATGTATCTCACTTGATTATTCGAATAAAAAATAATTTTCGCTCGCTAATAACTTTTCATCCTTTAAGAATTTAAAGAAATCTTGTCTAAACGATACTCGAATACTCTCGCATGTGAATTGTAACATAAATATAAACTTGTTACCGTCATAGCTTAGTATCTCCTATATCTTTACGCGGTAATATTTATGAAGTCGACAATTCGTTATAAGAGAAACATAATCACAATGAATGACATTTATATCTGCATTTACAATTAATCTGTTATGTGAGGACGCGTTGCATTCTTATCGCGCTTCATAGAAACAGGAAGGCTTGTTGTATCCGGAGATAAATTTACTTTTCTCTATTTATAAAGACGAATATCGAAATGTCAGTTTAACAAAATCGCATCGGTCTGATGGAATCTCATAATTTTTTTTATAAAAAAAAAAGTGACTTATCCGCACATTCCTAGATACAACATGTAGTCTTACGGAAGCGCGAGATACTTGCCGATGTCGCGGGCGGATATTGTCGAACCCGCCGATCAGATTCTCGCTTCTTACGCACGCGCTATGCTATCGGTTGCACGAAGTAAAAGGAAGATACGATGAACAGGGAAGAACGGGGGTGCGATCAGGCACATCGCGCAACGACGAAATACCCCGTCGAACCATTCGTCAGAGACCGAAATTACCCTTCAGACGATTTTCCAAGTTCGAAATTGGAGGCACAATCATTTGCCTTCGATCGCGCACCCCTCTCTCTTCGTTATCCACCACCAGACGCGAAATAGGGGTTTTCATCGAACCAGCAAACGCGCTGTGTTGTCTCTCGCTTGAGGGTAGCGTCTCTCGTCGTGTTTCAAAAAATAAAATCGTCCGCACTTCTTTTTTTTCTTTGTTTTTTTCATTTTTCTCTTTTTTTTTCTTTCTTTGTGAACACGTTCTGCGTGTCTTCGTCGTCTCCTCGTTCCATCCGCGAGGTCGACGACACCGCAGCTCTTCGACGGACAGGTCGACGGATAGATTTCCAGGCGCGGCGACGCCGATCTCTTCTGAGCAATATACGTGGGACAGCCCCGTGCCGCATCGCCGGGAATCCTCCTTGAGCGAACATCGACCCGGGGCAGCGGAAACAGGAAATACGTTGAACGTGGTATGCGTGCGACGCGACCGCTTCGCCGATACTTCGTATCGCGAGCCTGCGATCGCTCTCAGCTCGCACCCGCGTCTGCATCAATCTTCATCCGGGCTCTGGATTATCTTCGCGAGAAAATTGCGCTGAATTTATCTCCTTTGTTTGCTCACTATTTCCTTTTAAATTTATTTCAAAAGCTTCGAATCTTCAAAAGTGCAAGTGTGGCCGTAGTGATGTAAAGAGTCCTGCTTTCTGTGCCAAAGGATTCAAATCCATCCATAACATATCGACGCCTGCTACGAAGAGTAGCATATTTCATTTGTCCTACGAAAAACTTTACTCATGACGTCGTTGCGAAGAACTTTATGTTTCCGTTTTCGCCGCGAAAATCACAAATACTGAGTTTTGACTTTCGAAAAGTAGCACATTTCATTTTATACCACGAATAATAATATGTTTGAGCGTTTTGTGATGAAAAGTAATATGTTTCTTTTTACATCACGAAAACTAATACATTCCAACGTTTAATGGCCTTTAACCGCGAAAAGTAACATATTTTACTTTATATCGCGAAAACTAATATGTTTGATGGCTTGACTGCGAAAAGTAGTCTGTTTCACTTTATACCGCGAAAAGTAATATGGCTGTGGGCTATTCTTCGAGAATTTTGATGATTGTCAAAGGTTAGAAATAGAAATATTCATACCAGTGATTTTATTTTTGGTTCCAAATAGTAAAATGAATAACTCCATTGTTATTGTTGCTTTTTAGTTGTATAATTTTATTTTTAGTCCACGTTTTTACAATCTTAATTAATTAATCTTATTTATTTATCTTATTTATTTATCTTTTATCTTATCTCTCTATTTATTTATCTTTTATTTATTTTTTTTATCTGATATATTATATCAGATGATTTTATTTGATCGTTATCTCTCGGAAAGCAATGATAAATCATCTAGAACATCTATCTTCCAGTGGTAAAATAATCTGCGGCGTTAAATATATATAAATATGATGAATCTATAATTATCTAAATTAATTTTAGATAATGTTCTAATTTTAGATAATTATAGGTTCATTATTAAAACTGTAGGTCCCGTATGCTTATGGCAATTGAATAATCAGCATGCGTACCATAAGCATATGAGAGAGATATAAGAAGAAGATTATATTTAGCGTCGCAGATTTTTTTGCTACATTAAATTTAAAATATAACATTGACTATTTTAATTATTTTGAAAATAAATTTACCATTGGCAAAGATATTCTTGGTTTGCCATTGATTTCCGAGAAGTAATGATCGAATAAGATTATTTGATATGTGTTCTAGAGAAATTCAAATCTCCTTTTTTCTTCCACAGAATAAACGCGCAACTCTTTACCACGATGTTACATCTGTACTTTTGAAGACTCGAAACTTTTTAAACGAATTTAAACGAAATTAAAGAGAAATTTACCGATAATTTACATTAAATAAAAATTTCGGCGAGCGTTGGCTCATTTTCTTCGCAAAAAGAATGCTGCCCGGATAAGGACTGAGCCTAGCGATACCAATAAGACATCTGATGGTATATTATCAGTAGAAGAGCAGGGGGATACACTTCTCTAAAATCCACCGACATAATTAAATTACAACGTGAGTCCTCTTACCTCTTCAATTTCCGCGATAGCTATCTAACACTGTCCTTTTAAATTAGGATATTTTTA